CACAGAGTGATTGCCTCGCACGTGTGAGACACTGGATTTCTTCCCCAGTACCATATAAAAATAAATAAATAGACAAATTAAAGGTATCATCTATCTACAACTAAACAACTAAAAATAACAACAAAATAACCTACCAACAAAGAAAAGCTCAGGATCAAAAGGATTCTCAGCTGAGTTCTACCAGACCTTTTTTAATAATGTAAATTTTTTAAAATTTATATATGACAGCAGAATGCATTACGATTCTTATTACATATATAGACCACAATTTTTCATATCTCTGGTTGTATACATAGTATATTCACATCAATTCGTGTCTTCATACATGTACTTTGGATAGTAATGATCATCACATTTCTACCAGACCCTTGAAGAAGAACTAACACCAATTCTCCTCAAAATATTCTATGAAATAGAAAAGGAAGGAACCCTTCCAACTCATTCTRTGAGCTAGTATCACCTTAATACCAAAACCAGACAAAGACACACCAAGGAAAGAAAACTGCAGAMCAATATCGCTGATAAACACAGATGCAAAAATTCTTAATAAAATACTGGCAAATTACATACAAAAGCATATTAAAAAGATAGTGCACTATGATCAAGTGGGGTTCATCCCAGGGATGCAAGTTTGGTTCAACATAAGGAAATCAATAAATGTAATTTATCATATCAATAGACTTAAAGATAAGAATCATATGATCATCACAATAGATGCAGAAAAAGCATCATTGTAAAAGCCATATATGCTAAACCCAGGCCAACAACATTCTAAATAAAGATAAAGAACGCATTCCCTTTAAAAACTAGAACAAGACAGGGATGCCCTCTTTCGTCACTTCTATTCAACACAGTCATTGAAACTCTAGCCAGAGCAAATTATACAGAAGAAAGTAAAAGGATATGAAGAGGAAAAGAAGAGCTCAAACTATCCCTATTTGCTGATGACATGATTCTATGTTTAGAAGACCCAAAAACCTCCACTAGAAAACTTCCAGAAGTCATAMATGAATTCAGCAAAGTAGTAAGATATAAAATTCATAATGGGGAGCAAACTGCTCATTGGGTACAGGGTGATTCCTTTGGGAGGGATGAAAATGTTTAGTGAGTACAAAGGCTAAATGTTCTCTGATATGTGGATACTAACACACAACAAGGAGGGGGGATGGAAGAAAAGTTCAGTGAATTAGACAAAGGGGAATGAAGGGAAGGGAGGGGAAATGGGAATAGGAAAGACAATTAAAGGAATTAGACATAACTTTCCTATGTTCATATGTGAATACATCACCAGTGCAACTCCACATCAGTAATAACCATAAAAATGAGATCCTAATTAGAATAAGTTATATTCCATGTATGCATAATATTGTCAAGATACACTCTACTGTCATGTATATCTAAAAAGAACAAATAAAAAAAGAAAAGATGTCTAGCATTAGTCATTAGGGAAATGCAAATCATAACCACAGTGAGATACCTTTGCATATCTACCAGGATGGATATCACGAAAAATACATGGAAAATAAAATGAGTTGGAGASATGTGGAACAATCAGGCTCATCATATAATGCTGGTGGAAATTCATAGTGGTGCAGCCACTGTGAAAAACAGTCTGCCAGTTCTTTCTTGGCAACTCCACTGTTTCGTATGCACTCAAAATAATTGAAAGCAGATATTCAAACAAACACCACTATCCACAATAGCACCACTATCCACAATAACCAAAAGGTGGAAGTAGTCCAAGTGTCCATCAGTAGATAGAAGGATAAATAAAATGCAGTACATACATATAACAAAGTATTATTTAGATATGAAAATGAATGAAGGACTGACTGATACACCCTACAATATGCATGACCCTTCAAAATATTATGCTAAGCCAAAGAAACGAGACAAGAAAGGACACATGTTGTATGATTCCAAAAGAAGTAAGTGTGTAGAGACAGAATACAGATTGGTGGCTACCAGGGTCTGAGTAGAGGGGAAATGGGAAGCAAACTGCTCATTGGGTACAGGGTAATTCCTTTGGGACRGATGAAAATGTTTAGTGAGTACAGAGAGAAAGTGATTACACAACATTGTGAGTGTACTAAATGCCTCTGAATTATTCATTCAAAAATAGTTAATTTGGCTAGGGTTGTAGCTCAGTGGTGTGGTGGAGTGCTTGCCCGGCATGTGTGAGACAYTGGGTTCGATCCTCAGCATCACATAAAAACAAATAAATGAAAATAAAAAATGTTTGGAGCATGGTATTCCCTTTAAAAAATAGTTAATTTTTTATTATGTAATTTCATCTCAGTACAGAACAAGAGTATCAGAATCCAACTTAATCCTACTGAAATCATTAATGCATCAGTAGGATCTAAAATGGATCTAGCACATTTGTTGGTAAATTAGCCAGCTTGAAATTAAGAAAATAAAAATAAACAGTTTGTATCCAAGATATATGTGTATCTTACAAGATGTTGCTACAGTTTGTATAAGTGTTCCCCAAAGGCCAAAGGGGATCCTGGACTAAGGCCTATGTTTTCTCTCTCTTTCACTTCCTGGACACCATGAGATCATCAGTTTCTTCTATCACATGCTCCCACCATGATGTTCTGCCTTGTCATCAGCCCAAAAGCAATGGGCAAACTGGTCATTGTCTGAAACTTTTGAAATTAATRAGCTTAAAACAAACCTTTCTTCTTTTAAGTTGATTATCTCAGATATATTGTCATGGTAATATAAAACTGACCAACACAGATGTCAGAGGAATATAAAATCTAATTTCTAGAGTGAGAAATATTCTGAACCTAAAAAGCTCTACTTCCCACACTGTGTGCACCTAACTCAGGCACTGAAGTGGAGCCAGAATAAAACAGGTTTATATCACTACATATGAGCCTGGGCCAGAGCTGTGAGGATATTTCATCCACAGGGATGACAAGACAGTGGTAGCAGCAACCAGAGGGGGAAGAAAAGATGAAGGTAACAGTTTCAAGGTTAACTGAGATGAAGAAAAAACAGCCAGGAAACAAAGCAAGTCAAGAAGTGTGCAGTTCTTACCAGAAACAAGAACATTCAAGACCTAGTGGAGATCCCCTGAGTTGGGAGGGGTGCTTTCAGTTCACTAAAGCTACAGATAGAGGATGCAGCCATGCTCACTTTGAGCTGATGTAGGGTCAGGCTAAGGCAGCAGTTCAGGTATACATATGCAACAACAACAAAAACAATAACAGCACACACAATACTGCTATATTATAAATAACATTTTGTGGAATTAACCAAATTGAAACCCTGGTTTCAGTAGGAATTCCATATCTTAAGTTGTCAACATATTCAAGAGAAACTTTCTAATGTCCAGGGGTTGTGATTTGTAATATTGGTCAGTCAAAAGCCAAAAACTRCATGTAAAACAGCAATATCTTTGGAACCATGTGATGACTAAGTCTTTGGCTGTCCAAACTGAGCCATTCAATTTTAGAAAATGTAAAATGTATTTGCACTATATATATTAAGGACTCTAAATTTTACAACTTCTGTTATTTTAAACTACAATTCTAAGAGAAAAAACTTTTTAAATTTTTCTATAAAGAAACATATTTCTTTTACAATGAGAGACAAAAAAAAAATGCTTCCAAAATGTGCAGTTCCCTTACAGTGTTTTCTGTGGCACTTAATTACAAATACAAGCCATTCCTCTGAGATCTCTCTTACTGTACAGATATATCCTGTGAAACTGCTTTAAGGATCATTAGTTAAAACTTACCCACAAGAAGAAAAGTAAATATAAATATTGTACTTAAGATAATCTTCCATGATCGAGTTAACCTACAAAAAAAAAAGCCAGTAAAAAATAAAAGAGAAGAAGAAATTTACAGTGTAATCCATTACTATTAAGCTTTAACTTGGACTTTAGCCACTACTCCCAAGTAAACACGCTTGCTATTCACATTCATGCTTATTCTACATAGATTCTGTGAGTTAACTTAATCCCTAATCCATTATTCTTGAAATAGAGAGAAAATAATTTTCTTAAGGTATACACTTCCATACTTACATGGTCCTTATTCACACATATATAACTGTGGTCATATTATATGCCTATCTATATTCTTTAAATGCTGATGAGAAAAAAAAATGAAGACAGGTATCCTGAAAGTCTCAAGTATGGCTTTGATTTTGCAGGAATTAGGTATTAAACTTAAGTACAATGATAAAAATTATTTAATAAATGTTAAGTCATCATAAGCCTCTTTCCACTTTGCATTAAGATATAGAGAGCATGCACACAGAAGTACACAAATAATAATTGTATAGCACATCATTGTGTGAAGTAGAGCATCCTCAGTGCTGTGGACTCTAAATTGCACTCCTGCCCCCCTGCATACAGATGTTGAAGCACTTCCCCCACCGTGTGACTATATTTGAAGACAGAATCTGTAAATGTCATAGGGAATGTRCAGGATCTTTAGAGGCTAATTAAGGTTAAATGAGTTCATSKGAGTGAGCCCTAAATGGATAGGGCTGATGTCCTTAGAAGAAGGGGAAGAGGACGAGTCCAGAGCACTTTGTCTCTGTGCACACAAAAGAAGGGCCACACGAGGACATAAGCATGGTGGCTGTCTGCAAGGCAGGAAAGGAGTCCTCACCAGAGATTAAATCAACTGGAACCTTGATCTCTGCCTCCAAAACTCTAAGAAAATAAATGTCTTCTGTTTAACTCTTCCATCTATTTTAAAATCAGATGAATATACCCAGTCCATYAGAAAGCCCTCTCATATCTATGTCTTCTTCCTCTGAAGGTAACAGCTCTCTTGAGCTCTATCCCAACTAGGTGTGCTCAGTTTTGTCATGTACCTAGGTGGAACTCCRTGTGTATGTGCTCTGTCTGCCTTTCCTCAGCATATGCTTGTAAGTCATTACACTGTTGTGTGTGGTTGTGCTTCATTCATTCTCATGACTCTCTAGTCTCCCACCATGTGGATATAACCCTGGTGTCTATTCTAAAATCGATGGGCATTTGGGACTAGGACAATTATTTCACAAATATTCTTAAGCAATGCTACTATGGACATTCTCATACATGATTTGTTGATGAACACCTGTATGCATGTCATTTAGGTATATTCCCAAGAGAGGAATTGCTGGGTCATAGGATATGTGCATATTTAACTGCAGCAGATTTGCCAAACAGTTTTACAAAGCAGTTGTAGTCATAACCTTTTCACACTCAACTTTTTTTTTTTTTTTTTTTTTTTTGGTGGAGGTTAAGGAAAAAATGCAGGGCCTCATGCATGCTAGGCAAATGCTCTACCAATAAGTGACATCACCAACCCTCACACTCAACCTTTTAAAAAAGCACTAAAGGAAAAGGGGATTGCTTAAATAATTTGAGCTAGAACACAAGGCTGTAAGTTGGAAGCAACAGGGGAAGATCTGTGTCGCAATTTAGGAAAGACTGGTGACATGCTCCCAGAACATCAATTCTCTCAGCACTTTGGTTCACCTACTGGCTCTGAACTAGTCTCCATCAACTGAAAAGCACAATTCCCTGCCCAGGTCTACAAGGAATGTCTAAGAAGGTAACCTTAAAGTCTGGAAATGATGTGATTCATATTTAGATACCAGTATTTCCTTAAATTTTACTTAATTGTATTCAACTATCATTAAATAGATTACTTAATGTTTTTTGAGTTAGTTGATGAAATGTTGTACAAATTTACTCTTTACTGATCTGCTCTTGAGTTATAATGTCAGTTGAGCTTTGTAAACCTACAGCTTCAATACACAGGGAGACTTAGAATGAGTCACCCAGTTCCTTAACAGAAGTTCTATGTGCCTCACCTCCCCCAAAGTAGCTAAGAGAGTTTTCCTCACTCTTACTTCCAGAAAGTATGTTCTTGAAATCATTCAATCCTTTAATTATTACTGGTCATATAGGAAGTGGTAGAGCCCACTATCTAAAGAAAGGTATTCAAAGGTTAATTATGGTCTCTGCTGGAGGACTGGTTTGATTAAAATTATTATATTATAATATTTATCAAAGATTAATACAGCTTTTTTTTTTTAAGCCTGGCTGCCAGGCTCTGCTTTGCAAAAGTCCTTCTATGCCTTCACCTAGCCTGTGGGATTCTGCCATTTGAGCAAAGCATGCTTTATTATTGACTGATTTTAAAATGCTGTTTTTCTTGTACTTATAACTCTGTAGCAATTCTTACATTTTTTACACACAGTTTTGTTTCTATGCAAGTGCTTTATTGGTACTATTGGGATGGTTATTTCATTATTTTCAGTTTTCTTGTCCCATCAGGCAGCATAATTGGCCCATCCAAGTGGACAGGGCTTCCCTGCAAACTCTGTCCAGGCACTATGTAATGTTTACAAGGGAAACTCAGTTATTAGCTCAAAATGTGTATCCATTATCAAGCTGTTTAGTCAGTTCTCATCTGAGAGTGTAACAAACGCCACTCTATAGCCAGCACTTTCTGTCCAGCATTGAGCTCTGTATACCACGGAGACTGGATAGTTAGGCCTTCAGTGAAAATTGAGTCATCTCTAAGGTTTAAATTACTGCTGCTGAGGTTCATTTTTTTAAAATATGGCTTCTCTTTCATAGTCCTTGTCCCCAGACTTCTATAATTAATCTAAATACCACTGACATAGAAAGAAGAGAGCATGCCACAGGAAACATGGTGACTGATAGAAACTGGAAATGATTTTCTCTAAAAGGAAGTTACAACATCTKTTCAGTTATTTTCCAGGTAAACAGGACCCAAACTTCACACATGACATGTACAACATAAGCTCTTACAGAAACCATTCTGGAAGTTACATACCCATTTCCATCAGGGTTTTCATGCTCTGAAAGCAAAAYATTAAAACTTGCACTGCTGCCAGGTTCTTCAGAATGACCTCGAAAAAACCGTGCACCCCTTCTCATTTTTGTTCTGCCATTCATCTTCCCCCACCAAGTAGCATAGAGCTCATGGAATGAAAGATACCATTTGTTGTCTCTTTCCTATTTTATGGAAAACATGAAGCTACCCATAATAGTTTTTGGTTTGTTTTTAGGTCTTCTTACTTCACAGGTATTTCTCCTTCAAGGGGGAAACTGTGAGTAAGCAAATTTTGAAAAGCCTGTGACTCTTCTATTGCATCATTCTCTGTGACACCTCATAAAGATAGACAGGCCACCACGCCCATCCAGGTGCTATATACACAGTCACCTCTCTGCTTCCCATTTTTTATTGTACCATATTTGAAATCCACTGAGAAACCTAAAGGTTCCCCCATGTACCTGCTATTTTGCTATAGCAAATCTGGATATTTTGCTATTTGCTTCAGTACTTAAAAATATAGAAGAAATACAATGGAAGACCCCCCCCAAATATACCCCAGTCTCACATCTTTCCTTTTTTTCCCCACAGATAACTCCAACCTGAAAATTGATATACTCCTCTCTCATGTGTTTTGTGATATTTTACAACATAAATATATATCCACAAATCATAAAAATTTTTCATGTTGGACTTAAAATATATAATATGCTACTCTGTTTTTTTCAACATTATATATCTTGAGATATATTAGCCTAGGTTATTCCTTTTACCTGTTCTTTGTGTTTCATCACATATAAATCATAATTCATTTACACCTTTCCTACTAATCATTTACACTTAGGTTATAATGCTCAGTACATTGTTTTGTATATAYCTAGGAATGGAATTGCTAGATGAAAAGATTAGTTAGCTTATTTGGGGTATATAATTCTAGAGTGATAGCTATTTTACTCTCAGTAGTTAATGGCATCTTAATCTGTTTTACAGTGAATTTTTTGGAGTGATGTCAACAAGATGACAGAAGAGGGCCCCTGCTTGTATCTCCCCATAGCAACAATAATTTGGTAGATATTGTGGGGGAAAGGTTTATATGGGAGCTCTGAGATCCAAGTGGGAAGCTGTGAAATCCCAATGGAACCTTAGACTGAGGAGGGTTATTCTGAAAAGGCAGACCCATGCACAGGTGGCAAGATCATGGAACATGGCCCCAGTTAAAGACCTAGAAACAGCCCTTCCTCCCTTGGTTTGGATATAGCCTCTTGGTCTACTACCTGGGAAGAGTCACACCCACCCATGCCTAGAATCATAGACCTGCTGACTCCAGTCCTACAAGTGGACATCAAAGTAGCTTATGACCCACTTATAGCACCTCCCATAGTTCTGCCCACACAAGAACAATGCAGTAGACACACCTACCTACATGCCTGACATAGGCATGGCAGTCATTCAAATACAGATCCTGAAGTATCTATGCAACCCAGCTCTAGACCCCTCAGCCATGATCTGGGAGTCATTCAGGTTGCCCAGACAACCAGAAAGAGACATGCTCACTCATGTCCCCAGGGGCAGGCCACTGAGTTTATTCCCATAGAATATACTAACAAAGGTATGCAACTGTGCTCCAGTCTATCTCAGCTGAGTTTTGAGGGTAGTTATGTCCACCTAATAATTCAATGGGAGATGAACTCATCTGTACATCCAAAGGCTGAGCTGCTGATATTGGCTCCAGCTGTAAACCCTGAAGCAGTTCTGTGACTTGCTTCCAGCCCAGTCAGGCATGACTTAGGGACAGTTATGCTTGTTCAGGAACCTGTTCAGTGAGCCAGCATAATCCCTCCCAGGCACTCAGCAGGAGTCACATCTGCCCAAGAACCTGGTAACAGACCTGAATCTGCAGATACAATTGTGGTCCTGATGTGGACCCTGGTCCCAGTAAAATCCCTATTTAACAATGTCCTAGAAGCATTCATATTCACCCAGGAACCAGGTACCCACACCACTCATAACAGGTATGACAAGTGAAGACTTGGGAGTAGACATGTTATTTGATTGCAACCTGCTTGGCCATAATACTGGATGCATTCCCATTAGCTGAGGGTCTGACAGAATAAGGTCTTTACCTACTGAAACCATTCTGTAAAAACTGGAAAAGCTGTTTGCTGTCTTAACGATGCAGACACCTCTGAAAGGATGATAAAGACGTAGGCAAGCATAACATCATCAGAGGAGATTAATAAACTCCAATAACTGACTCTAAAAAATTGAGATATAAATGAAGATGGAGAATTCAAAATAATCATTTTAAAGAAGCTCAATGAGATGAAAGATAACACAGATAACTAAACAAAATTAAGAAAATAATGCATGAGCAAAAGAAGAAACTTGATAAAGTAACATATACAAAAAAATATACAACTAATCAGAAACACTTGAGCAAAAGAATACCATGACATACTGAAAAGTTCCACAGAGAATTGCAACAGCAGACTCAATCATGTGGAAAAAGAATCAGTAAACTCAAAAATAGGTCACTTGATGTTAGTTAGAAGGGGAAAAAGGAAAGAAAAAGAGTGAAGAAAGGGAGAAGTAGGACCTGTAATATGCCATAAAATGAATGAATATTTGCATTATGGGAATACCAAAGTAGAAGAGAGTGACAAAAATATAGAAAGATTATTTAAAGAAATAATTGTAGGAAATTCCCCAAATTTTGGCAGTGATATAAACAGATTCATGAAGCTTAAAAGTTGCTAAGTAAGATAAATTCAAAGAAGCTTACCTAGACATACWTTATAATTGAATTGTAGAAAGTTAAAACAAAAATAGAATTTTGAAGTAGCAAGAGAAAAGTGACTTGTCACATTCAATGGCCATCATAAGATTATTCACAGTGGTGACCTAAAGAAGAAAGAAAACTGTCACCCAGGAATTTTTATTTGGMAAAGCTTTCATTCAGAAATAAATGAGATAAAGACATTTCAGACAAATAGGAGCTGAGAATGTCATCACTGCTTGTGATGCTGTGTAAGGCTTGCCTTGCAAGAAATGCAAAAGGAAATATTCAAACTAAGATAAAAGGTAAGTAACAAAATAAAAATATAAAACTGGTAAAAGTAAATACATAGTCAAATTCAGAATTCAGCAGCMATGAAAAGACAGTGGGAAAATCACTATTAACTCTAGTATAAAAGTTAAAAGATAGATAAAAAACAAATATAGCTATGATAACTTGTTAATGAATACACAATATTAAAAGGTATAAAGTATAATATTAACAGCATAAAAAAGATGTGAAGAGGACAAGTAAAAGTGGAGCTTCTGGGATGGGGATATAGCTCAGTTGGTAGACTGCTTGCCTGGCATGCACAATTCCCTGGGTTCAATTGCCAGCATCACAAAAAAAAAAAAAAAAAATGGAGCTTTTGTTTGTGGTTGAAGTTATCAGCTTAAGATAGACCATTAAAACTATAGTATGTTTTATGTAGACATCATGGTAATCACACACAAAATTAAAAAAAATAATGAATGAGCAAAAGAAGAATTCTTCAATAGGATAAGAAATAAGAAAAACTGTATAGRTATGTAAAAGGTAATGAAGAAGGAACTTTAGCACACCATTACAAAAAAAATCAACAAATAAAAAAGCAAGACCAATGAGAAGACAGGAACAAAGAAACAAATCAACAATGGCAATTATAAGTCCTTAAATCTTAATAACTGATATAAATACAAATCGATTAAAATCTCCAAGATACAGAATGGTTTAATTGGGAAAAATATATTACAAGGTCCAACTTAATGCTGTCTATGAGAAACTCTAACTTTTATAGAATTAAAGAAAAAGAATAAAAAAAAGATATTTCATGGAAATGGTAACTCAAAGAGCAGGTATTAATGCACATCTCATAGAAAAAAAAAAACAGACTTTCAGTCAAAAATCAGCCACTAGTGAAAAATAAAGTCACTGTATAAAGGCATGCATACTTCAATTGGATATAACAGATGTAAATATATACGCACATAATGTCAGAAAAATATAAATATATAAAGCAAATATTAATAGATTTGAAAAGACAAATAACAATGCAATAATATTAGGAAACTTCAAAACTATGCTTTCAGCAACAGATTATTTAGAGAAAATATCCATAAGGAAATGGAGGACTTGAATAACACTATGGATCAAACAGACATATAGAGACATAAACACTCCATCCAATAGTAGCAGAATACACAATCTTGAGAAGTCCTCTCGAGTTTTTAAGAAAATTCCTTGATAGAGCAGTCTTCAGGACAAGTGATATGCCAGGCCAAAAAACAAACTGTAACAAATTTAAAATTGAAATCATATCAAGTTATTTTTCTGAACACAATGGTATGAAATAGAAATTAACAACAAGAGATAACTATATTTATGTGGGTTTGTCTCTGTGTTTTCTATTCTGTACCATTGGTCTACATATCTATTTTGTTGTCAATACTATGCTGTTTTGTTACTATAGCTTTGTATAGTTTAAGGTCTGGTATTGTGAAATTAAAAATCTTCTCAGCAAAAGAAACAATCAATGAGGTGAAGAAATTTATAGAATCAGAATGGAATGCCAGTTTCCAGCAAAGGAGCAATGTGGGAGTAAAATTGGATAAAACTGAGCATGAAGTGAGACTATATTTGAGGGTGTGTATGTTAGATCCTTCTAAATCCTGAGGGATATTATGTGATAGAAAGACATATGAAAAAGTTTAGGAAATAAAGACACAGAGATTTTTTTTTACTATAAATGGATTATCCTTGTTTCATGTTTTCTTCTGGTTGGCATCATTACCTAGATTCTTATTTGCCTGGCATCAACAAATACCTATAGTTTCAATAACACTCCAAAGGTCAAAGCTTTCTTCTTCAGTCTATGATTTCAGCTAGAATAGAAGTGTGTCAGGTTGGATAAATGCTGCACTCTCTTATTAACCGAAGTGAGAAACAGATACTCTATAGTCATGTCAGTTCCAGTTACTAAAATCAGTTAKTTTTAAAAATAAGCTCTCTTGTCTGTATAACCCTTATCCAGATAATGTTTGATTTACAGAAATGGAAGCACTTGTTATGCTTGGTGATAACTTGAGTGCCTCTCTATGCAGTGGAATAAACTTGTCATTGCAGTAGGAAGTCTTTTTTTAAATCTTGTATTACTAATTTCATTTTAATTATTTCTTGTTTTTTATTGATTTTTTTTMAAGTACATGACAGAATAATATATTTTGAAATATATAAACATGAATATAACTTATTCTAACTAGGATTCAACTCTTATGGTTGAGAACATGATATGGAGTTACACTGGTGGTGTATTCATAAATAAATATAGGAAAGTTATGTCCAATTCATTCTAGTCTTTCCTATTCCCATCCCCTCTCCCTTCCCTTCATTCCCCTATGTCTAATCCAATGAATACGAAGTCTTGATTACCTACATGAGGGAGTCAGCTGAAGCTCCCTAGAATTCATTACAATATTATATTACAATATTATATCAGATTAATATTGTAATTAATGTGCAATATTAATATTGTACACAATGTTAATTAATATTGTTATATAATAATATATAATTCTTATACAATAATGATATTAATAATTAATATTAATATTGTACATTCATTACAATATGATCATTACAATATTATTAATTACTACATCATTAATTATTCTATTATTACATATATAGTAATATATATTAGGTCAGAGTTAGGATTAATTCCTTCCACAAAAATTATCTTCTATTWACCCAGTTCCTATATTACTGCCTTCTACTAGATTTATAAAGGCTACACTTGAGTAACAGAAGCAGTACTTTGTTTTGTTCAAGTGTTTCAATAATCACCATTATAAAATGCTTTGATTTAAAAAAAATTCAAGGGCTGGGGATATAGCTCAGTTGGTAGAGTGTTTGCCTAGCATGCACAAGACCCTGGGTTCAATCCCCAGCACCAAAAGAAAAAAAATATTCAATAAGAGAAAATCAAGTCTACTTACAGTTGCCTCAGCTGTGGTAACCTTTCTATGAAGGTTCTAATAGTATATCCTTAACTTTCCCAAGGGGTTAACCCTGGGAAATTACCCCACCATCTGGCCCAGGTGGGCATGAAGCTTTCTGACTAAGTGTCTCCTCCCTACCTCTGCCAAAGCTATTGTTGCCCACTGACTTCATCAAGCACTTGCCAGATAATTCCCATTCTTGTGAAACATAATTCCTAATATAATTATTGGGGTTTTTGTGAACCTTAATCCAGCAAAGGTTCACTATTAAAGTCAAGGGTTTGAAACTGTAAACACTATACTGTAGAAATATAGTTAAGAACTTTTTTAAAAAGTTCCCCAAAAATGAAGGTATAAGGAAGAACATTTACATGATAATTTTACCACTAATATGCAACTGGCAGACATGTCTATTTGCTGAGTTTTACCAAGTATGCATTTCTCTCTCTCTCTCTGACGCACTAAATAAGCAAGAGACTTAGTAAGCAAATTCTTTCTAAATTCTTTTGTTAGATGCAACATTACTCTCTCATTTGCCTGGTAAAGGTTTATCTATTGAAGGTTTTTTCTTAAGGTCAGTTACCCTTGCTTGGCGAGCGTGGCAGAAATTCCTTTTTTCTGGACCACTGTGCAGTTTTTGGACTACTGTGCAGTAACTGGGGTTCCAGTGGGTGGGTGGGGCGGTGTGACACGAGGAGGTCCTAAGCCCGGCCCCGCCCCGCCCCACCACGCTTCGTCACACCACGCCCTAGCCCCAATGAGACCCCTCCCCAAGCTCCAGACGGTTGACAGGTGGCGCCTGCGCTCTGCCCAGGTCCTGATTGGCCTACTGGCACTCCTCAGGTTTTCCCTATTGGCCGGTGGCACTCTTACTGCACCTGTGGGTTGGCTGCTGGACGTTGTCCTGGCAACGAGGGGCTGTTGTGGTTTCCCGCCGCGCTGGGAGTTTCGGGTTGGTTCCCGCCCACCCGACCGCTGCACACAAAATTTAGTCCTGAGTGCAGTAGGCAGCAGCCAAGGAGACCCTGGGCGGACAGGTGAGCCTGACCGGCGGGGGCGGAGACCACCGCGGGACCTTGGTGCAGTCCCAAGTCTTGCAGCCTTTGATTATCTGTGGTATACCCAATATGTACTTGCTGAGTACTGGGAGTGCAAGTTCTCCTTGTTGTGATGATTCCTTGATCTTGCTGTTTATCCGCACGACCTGCCCCCTTCTGTACGCCCAGCATGCATTCAAGTGCCTGGCTGCTTGTGTCCCGACTGTATAACCTGTATGATGTGCCCCTGCTGTGTTGTGTATCCAGTGTGGACTGAACCTTGCTGGGTGTTTGGCGTGCGTTTGTACCTGCTGTGTATCCTGCATGGATGTATAAGCACTTGTGTGTTGTGAGGCATCTTCAGGCTAAGAGGTGGAGATGGGTAGGACTTGCTAGATGGAGTGGGGTGAGCAACTCTGCAGATGCAGCTCCCAGAGAGTCAGGCCAGCAGCGAACCCTGGGAGCTGCATCTGTAGAGTGTCCCCTGTCCCCCACCCCACCCCGACCCCGCATCTAGCAAGTTCTACCCGCCTCCACCTTTTATGCCTGAAGATGCCTCACAAGTGCGTTATCTGTCTCTTCCCGCAGCGCTCTCTGCTTCTGGCCATGAGGAACACCAGCAAGGAGGTGCAGGGTGTCTCACACCGCTATGCTCCCTGTGGTGAGTGAGTTGTTCAGATGGTGGAGATCGGGAGCTAGAAATAATGCTTGAACATTTCTTTGTAATAGTTAACCCTGTATAAATCTCACGTTGTTTTCCTGAATGTCGACTAGGGAACTTCCCCCGCCCCCCCAGTTGTATTTCCCAGGTATTTTATTGACTTCTAAAACCCTAACCAAATTAAATATTTCTTGTTTTAAGTGGCTGGATGCAGAAAACAAGTATTCAGTGGAGGTTCATGGCTTATGTACCAGGGGATGAAGTTGAGAAGGGAAGGAAGAAGTCTTGAGATGCTGTCTTCTTTTTGTTTTTACTCTACTTTATTTTGGAAGGAAGAGAATAGAGAAGAGAGTACAGGTGTTCAGATGTATGAGACAAGTTGGAGCAGTTCTTATATTGGTCAGAAAGGAAACAAAGGCCCTTCCCTCTAGGTCTGATTGTTACCACTATTGGCAACCCAGGCCATGCTGTGTGTTGGAGGAGAAGGGCATGGATTCTTAGACAGCCTTCTCCTGGAGCTCTTTCTCCCCCTATCCTTTTGTGTATGTGGGACAGGTGGTGACTCTTGGTCTTTACTTATTTGAGCCCTTTCTCTCTGAGCTCCTCCTTTGCATATATTTATAAATGGATTATAGTTCAGTGCTTGCCCAAGCTTCCAGTAATGAGAAGGTAGAAGATACACTGTTCTCTGTGGATTAATTAGTAATCAAACAGAGAGAGGAAAAATAAAGCAAGAATCAAATATTCTCTCTYCAAGAGAGGAAATCTTTGAGCTGAACCTGATCAGAGCATGAAGCTGCTAATTTCTTATTTTTAATTATTAGATTGATTTTCTGTGATCTTTTGTGTAATTCTTTAAGGCTTTCCCAATGTTTCTTCAATTTTCAAAACCTTATAGTATTGATTTAGCTGTTTAATGTCCTTTAGATACTTAAAAGATTTTCCATGTTAAATATCATTCATTTTTATGCAGTGAACCCAGCTTTAGTAGAAATTGGATGTCTAAGCTATCAAGCTTTAAAGGATGATATCAAGCTTTAAAGGATGATAACTTCTTGTTTCCAGGCCCTGAGTGAACTGATTGATTTGTACTATTTTCCAATGTATGACTGTTAAGGTTTGTCCCAGTGACATAATCAATAGGATATCTACCTATATATGGAGAAAGGGAGTCTTATTTTAAGGARCTGGCTCAAACAATTATTCAGCAATAAGATGAAATCTGCAGGGCAGGCTGGGAGTAGATTGCAGTTCAAGTTAAAAAATCCATCTGAGGCAAAAGGCCTCTTCCTCAGAGGATCTCATTCTTCTCCTTAAGACTTTTAAATAATTGGATGGAGCTCACCCATATTGTGGAGGATCATCTGCTTTACTCAAAGTCCACTGATTTATTTTTTGGGGTTTTTTTTTTTTTTTTTGGTACCAGGGATTAAACCCAGAGGCACTTGACCACTGAGCCACGTCAACATCCTTTTATTTATTTGTTTTTTAAATTTTGAGACAAGGTCTCACTAAGTTGCTTAGGGCCTCACTAAGTTGCTGAGGCTGGCTTTGAACTCTCACACAGTCACTTCTGCCTCAGCTGCCGAGTTTCTAGGATTACAGAAGTGCACTACCATCTCTGGCTTGTCCAGTGATTTAAATGTTATTTTTATTTAAAAATATACCTTAATTGAAACATCTAGAATAATGCTGAACCAATATCTGGGTACTGTGTTGCAGTCACACTGATACAAAAAGTTTGCCTCACATCTGTCATGAACTGGGTATTGTCTTAATGTCATGAATTTTGTCACAGTACAATCTGATAAGTGCTATCACATATACTCTGTCACTATGCCACAAAGAATTTGGATCTTTTGTATATAGTATTTTTCCTAGATTTTGTTTATAAACTTTTTAATCAATTGTGAGAATTTTTTTTTCTTACATTTGGGCATCTGAATAATCAACTTTGAATGCAAAGAAGTACCTAAAATCACCTACAGACTTGATGCCCCAGACCTCTTCTCTCTGTAAGGTCATAAATAAGCACTAACAACCCCAGGTCCTGAGATTTTGCCAACCTCCCCAGCTATTTACAGAAGCTCCTCCATCTATTCTCCATGGAGCCTTATAGGCAAGCCTATGGGGTCTGCTCTGGATGCCATCAGCTCAAGGCTCAGGCAGCCTCCTTACTTCTCTGGGTCATGCCCACAGAGTTCCTGTCCCTTTCTGTGTTGAACTCATGTCACAGTGCAGAGGAAGAACAGAGGGCAAGCTCTCTCATTTTCCTGTCCTTCCCGCTCCCTGCACTATTTTGCCTATGTCACAGTAAAAGCCACATGATCTATACTCATCCAACTTAGTCTTTCCCAAAGGAAAGTCCTTAGGAATATCAGGCCTGAGAAGGTTTTCTAGAATATGTGTTTGTTCGGGTGAAATGATTCCCTCATTGCCTCCTTTCCCTCTTTAATACTCATCCAGGCCTCTGATACCTTTTCCTGCCCACTGTGGCCTCTGGCACAGTGAAGCCAGCTGAGGGGCTTGTGTGGAAATGGGTTGCTGACTCCAAAACAACAGTTTGCAGTCTGCTGCCACCCTGGTGGAAGGGAGCCAGGCAGGAGCTGCCATCACAGGTGTTCATTTCATGAGGCTTCTTTAACCCCCTTGCTTGCCTTCCTGCTCTTATAAAATTGGTAAACATGTTTAATCAGACTGTTGTTCCTGTGACTGAATTTATACTTCAGTATTTTTAACATATTAAGTTTATCAAATGTTGGTCAACATTTTACCACATACTTYATAGACTTACCTGAAATGTTTTGTGTGAACTAAAATTTTTAAGGATTGCATACTTCCAACATAACTAGGAATACACTTAAGTCTTCATTTTATGTAGGTGAGAGATTGAGACAGACAGACGGCCTTGGATACCTGTCTAGGAAGCTAGCACACCTGTGGAAGAAACTGGGGCTCTTTGGGAGGAAGGTCAAACCACATCAGAGAAACAGGACTGGCAGGGCTGAGTAGGAGGTGCTTTTCCTTCTCTTGGCAAGAGTGGTTGGCATATTATTATTATCATTATTTTGCAGTTCTGGGTATTGAACCCAGGGGTGCTCTACCACTAACCTATGTCCACTGATATTTTTATTTTCTATTTTGATACAGAAAGGCCCAGGCTGATCTCAAACTTCCAATCCTCCTGCCTCAGCCTCCTGAGTCTCTGGGATTATTGCACCTGGGCTGGTGGTTGACATTCTTGTCGTCTCTGGGGATTTAATTGTCCTCCTGGTCCCAGGTGTTCAGAGAGGGCTCATGTGCTCTGCTCTGTCATGTGTGCTGCCCTGACTGCTTGGTCTGCACAGTCTCAGAGGGGACTGGAGCCCTTCCCTGATGCCAGCATCCTCCTACAACCCACACTTAACAGTGAAGCTCTGCTTCCCTCCTGTCTAGATTGGTATTACCAYCTGCCCACAAAGCGCTCTGAGAAAGCTGTGGATGTCCCACCAGCGTCCCAGATCCCAGGACTCAGTAATCTGGAAGAATCACACAATGGGAACATACCTGGGACTAGGAAGTACTGGATAAAAGAAACGGATTCAGAATATGTGAAGCTTGCAAAACAAGGTGGCAGACCTGGTAAGCCCTCTGCATGCTCAGTGGCTTTGTGAGCAGGGTAGGGGTGTTATAATTTCATCCATACAAAAATATATAAAATATATTTACTATAAAATCCATAACTTTTGCCCAAGGCCTTTAGAAGTTTAGACTCACTGAGTAGGTTGAAGATGTGTATAATCTCCAGGGGGAAATGGTTTTTGTGATGTTAGACTGAAAAGACTTTGGATTCACACAATTGGTTATGTAAGATATTTTTTCTGAGTGTTACCTTTGGAATCATTATTTCCATCGCCCCACCCCCTTTTATTTTGTTATTGCCAGGAGAATCTCAGGAAGTTGCGCATTTCAAGAGATCTACTTTTGCCCTGTAATGTCCCTTGTTTGATTCAACCAATTCCTGGCTAATTTGTGAAAAGTTTTTTTTTTTTTTCTTGCTTATTGTCATTTCCTCTATCCTTATTATAAATAGATTTTAAATAATGAAGACAACCAACATGTTTCAATGGTAATGTTGATGAAAGTCAATTTTAATGCAAGATTTAATTGAAAAAGTTCTGATTGAATATTTGAAAACTGAGGCATATTGAGTTCAGTAGAAATCACTGATCAGAGGGTTGAGGGAACATCTCCCAAATGTCTCACTGCTAGCCTTTGGGACAAGTGGCAATGACAAGTACTAAACTTTTCTTTTTTCCCCTTTGCCTGCTATCATCCCTACAGAGAATGTCRTAGGGATAATGAAAAACAAAATGGCCACATCTGTGCTGCTTTAACATTAAAAAGTCCATAACAACCCATTTACCTGACTACGCCTAAAGTAGGTAGAAGACCTAGACACTGCCTTCCCCTGCCATTGGTTGACAGAACACTAGTGGGATAACTGGCAAAATTGGAATGAGTTCTGTAAATTAGATAAAAGTATTGCATCAATACTGCCTCAATCATCTTTGCAACACTCTGACAAAATCCCTGAGATAAACAACTGGGGAGGAGGAAAGGTGGATTTTAGCTCACAGTTTCAGGAGTTGCCATGCATGGTCACTTGGCCCAGTTGTTTTGAGGACTGTGAGGCAGTACATCATGATGGAAGCACATGGTAGAAAACGATGCTTATTTCATTGTGGCCACCAAGCAGAAAGAGAAAAGGGGCTGCTTCCCAATGTTACCTTTAGGAACTCACCACCAATGACCTACTTYATCCAGCTAGGCCCTACCTCCTAAAATTTTCATTGCCTCCCAGTAGCACCATGAGCTGGAGTCCAAGTCTTTAACACATGAGTTTTTGGGGAACATTTAAAATTCAAATTATAACAAATAGCAATATTCTCAGTTTGATCATCATGCTGTGATTATGTAAGGACTGTCTTTTTGAAACATCCACTGAAACTGAGGATGAAGGGGAATGCTGTCTGCAACAGATTACTCAACAGTTCTGAAAACAGTAATCACAATGACATTTTTGGTAGTGGAGGTTAAACCCAAAGATTCTTTACCACTAGGCTACATACAAGTCCTTTTTATATTTGACTTTAAGATAGAGTCTCACTGAATTGCTGAGAGTCTTCCTAAGKTGCTAAGACTGTCCTTGAACTTGTGATTCTTGTGCCTCAGTCTTCTGAGTTTCTGGGATTACAGGCAAGTTTTTTATTTTGTTATTGCCCCATAATGATAATAATGATGRTGATGATTAAAACATAGAGAAAGAAAATGATCAAGCAAATGTGATAAAATGAAGTGAAGGTCAGAGGAGGAACCCATACTATTGTAACTTTTCTACAAGTCTGAAATATTTAACAATAAAAATTTTTAAAGTGAAAAATGGGAGATTAAAAATTTCTTACTGGGATTATTAAATCAATACATTTTCTCTGCTGTCACGGGTATTATTATTATCATTTTGCTGTTGGTATTATCTGGCAAAATCAGTTCTTCCCACCAGAAGCCTTTTCATAGCAGCAGAGGGGAGKGATACAAGCTAGAAAGTCAGCTGGTGAGTCAGGAACCAACCTGAGTCTCTGAGAAGGAGCCTTGAGATTTTTCCCCTTCAAGATTGRCTAGAAAAGCCAAGATAAATTCCCCAGGGACTACCCACCTGGAAACCTGAAGAGGAGGGGTTCTTCTGGAAATAGTTGTATTGGGTGGAGGGAGGAGTCAAGGACAGCCTGACAATGATAAAAGAGGCCATCTAGGCTTGGATTGTTCTAGGCTCAGAGAATGGCCTAGGAGTAACTGAGGTAGGGGAGCAGCAAGCACAGCTTCTGGRGACCTAAGGAGAGTAGTGATGATATTGGCATAGGTGCCCGCTCAGGACCAGGAGATCTTTCCAGATCCTTGAGGAAAAGAGAGATGGGGGTGAGGGGTTCGCATGGGTCATCCCTATCTGAATGTGAAACTGGACCCTTTGGACCTTCACCAGTTAGCCCATGCAGAGGCAGGTGGGGGGTCAGGAATGCTCTGGTAGCCCCCAGTCCTGAGGCAACCTCAGGGTGATGGCACAGTTCCTCTTGTTACACTTCCACTGGTTGTGCCTTCTATTGTGTGAGCAACAGGCCCACACGCAACCCTGTCTCATTCTTTTTGAGATCTGCTGAAGCATTTTGCCCCTGGCACGAGGCAAGGCTCCCCGGTGGCCTATGCCCTACCCGACTGGTACATCCACCACAGCAAGCCACCCACGGCCCACCAGCATGAGTGAGTATCTTGAAGCACCCACATTTTTTTAATTGAAAAAACAGTCCRATTTGTATTTTTAAAAATATAAATATCTAATACTGAGAGCAAGTGTGTGATATCACAGGTCCAGGTACTATTTTTCAATAGCTAGCTCTTTAGGGAATATAGCAGAGTTGTCAGAAAACCAAAGTTGGGGAAACATGGAGCATCTTGTGTCCCCTTTGAGGTGTGGGTCTTTGGCTGCTTATTGGTAAATAGCTTCAGATTTTCTRTTTTCTGACACATGGGATATCCCCATGTCTGTTGGCTACAGAAACAGCAGYCTGTCTAAAGCTTTCTGATACAGATGAAATACACTAGATACAGCTAGAAATGGAGGTACATCTAAGTTTCTATAATGATTATAGAATTGTAGGGAGCTGTTGTCCGTCCCCTACAATGTTTGAAATGAATTCCTGTTTGTGTTATGTAAACTTGACCCTCCAAACCACCTCTCTTGGACTGAGAGGAAACAYGAAAAATCATTCTGGTTTTTTGTCTCTATTTTCCTTGTAAGATAGGACCACCATAGACATGCTTCTAAGCTATTATCTGATGTCATCTGACTGAGGGTTCTGTTCATGGTCACAGAGTGATTTTTGTGTTCAGGATTCTGATTTTCCTGTTTTTGTTGTGTTTTGYTTTTGTTTGTTTGGATAGGTAAAAAGAACACATAAAATTTATGCCATGCCTAAGGCATGGGAACATTAGACTTCTCCCATTTTAAAAAATGAATATGCTGTTTGCCTGACTTGCATAAGGTCCTGGGTTTGATGCCCCCCCCTCCTGCCACACACATACAAGAATAATCTGTACTAAGTTCAGTAGGAAAAATGAATGAGACACTGTAAAACAGAAAGGGGTGCAGAGAACTTTGGAGATGACTCTTCCGGGTATGGTGTCAGTGAGGGAAGATCAGTTTAAGTTTAAATTTAAATTTAAATACATACATTAAAAATGACTGTCCAACAACAAAAAATATTATCTTAATTATAATGTTAAGTGGTAAATGTTTAGGGATGTTCAGCTCTTTGAAAAGGACAAAATAGTAGATGCTATTCTAAAAGAAATAATTATAAGTTATCTGCTTTATAAATTCGTATTTTAATATACCCTTTTTTAGTCACATGAGACTGATTTCTGAGTTGACCTCCTGATCCTGGGGGGCTGTCCTGGAGAAGGGTGCATGGGTTTATTCAGCAGGAGCAGAGTGGAGGGAAGCCGTCTGTGTCTTTGAGGAAGATGGATGATTCTTATAKAAAGAGTGGGAAAGGGGTTGGGAAGAGAAGAGAGAGGGAATGAAATGGTGCTAGGTACCAGGCCATAACTGTCTCTTCTGTTCCGGCAGAGTTCCTGTGGTCTCCATGCCAGACTACATGGTGTATGAAGAATTCAACCCTGGTCAGGCCAACAGTAACTATGAATCCAGAAGAGGGCCCTTTGACTTTGACATGAAAACGGTTTGGCAAAGAGAGGCCGAGGAACTAGAAAAGGAGAAGAAAAAGGTGCCCTCATAAATAGGTGGCATCTGCATCTGCTTTGTTTCCATGTCTCCCTGAGTAATTAAGGAATGAACTTGTTAGCTCCTGCCAGTGTGTCTTAAGATGCCCATAACATTGTTCTTGTACTCAGAATTTTAAGTTTCATTCTACTAAAAGGCAAGCGTGACACTGTTGTCGTTTTCTTTTTGTAAATGTTGATTTTATAGGTGAGGTTACTTTTTACTAAGTGTTWTTCAACCAGTTAATACATATGTAGGGGAAATATGGCATAGCACTATGATTTGGTACATGTAGGAAGGATGTCTTGCTTCTGATATCTTTGCACTTTAAGTCTTTAAGTTGAATTTTTTTTCCTGGAATTTCCTCACTAGTAATAAAGTAAGAGAAAAGGAATTCTTTTTTTCTGTATAAACTCCCAGGGGTATATTTGATTACAAAGGGGAGACAGATCTCTGAACAGAAGACTTCTTAGGCAATTTGCATTTTTTGAATGTGCAAATATTTACAAAGTGGTAATCAATTTCCAAGACAATTTCCAAGCTAGATGTCTTATAAAAGAGTAATTTTGGAGACTTGTCTCCTAATGTTCTATATTCAATACTTAGTATTTTTATCTGTTCCTTTTAGATATACATGACAATAGAGTATATTTTGACATATTATACATATAATATATGGAGTATAATATTCTAATTAGGAACCCATTTTGTGGTTGTTATGTGATGTGGAGTTTCACTGGTCACATACTCATATATGAACATATGAAATTATGTCTGATTCATTCTACTGTCATTCCTATTCCCTTCCCCTTATTCCCTTCCCTTATTCCCCTTTGTCTACTCCAATGAACTTCTATCCCCCACCCCACCATTATGTGTTAGCATCCGCATATCAGAGAKACTGAGTTGGTTGATGGGTGGTTGTGATCTCTTAAGAGAAGCCTGTCTGGTCTCCTGGCTTTCTCTTGGGTGCCTCCAGGGTCTCCAGGGACCACAGTCAGGCCCCTAGCACCAATGAGGGCTTGACATTGCTATTAGTATTAAGGTCTKAAATTAGTCTTAGTGCTTGAGACATTGGGATTTATGAGTGAAACKATAAAGTTTGTATTAAATATGGCAATACTGTTTTGATACTGAGAATGAGAGCCAACACCATTGTTATTTGAGTACCGGGGAAACTAGGTGTATCTTAGGCACATCCTACTGATTCCCAGGCCTCACTTATCAGTATCCTGGTATATAGAGGACCCTCAGTTTATTTGGAGACTTGAGTGGCTGAGTACGAAGTACAGCATGAGTTGGCTGCAATGGGCCGCTTGTTTATTCTTCAAGCCATCCCCAGTGTTCCACTGTCATTCTGGCTTGGGGCCATTAGCATGTGTATGAAAGTGGAATGGACTCTTAGGGATCAGGCCTGTTTCTCAGTGGTATTTAAGTGACCAGTTACACTGAGCTGCAATCTTGAGCACATGGATGTTAACCACGGTTAAAGTACAGAGCTAGAGAAATTTTAAAACAGTAAATGCTGCATCACTGACAAATTAAATGGGGTTATTTATTTAGTAACCCCTTTAAAAAATTGTGCTGAGGGCTACACAAATGCCTGAAGCCAATCTGTCTTCCCTTGCCTAGCATGCTGAGGAGTTACGATGTCCAAGAGTTCAAGACACTGACACTGAATAGGTAACAGCTGAAGGCATGTGGTATTGGGTAACTCAGGCATGAGCCACATCGGAGAAGGGCCCAGACTGCCTCAGCAAGATCACATCATCCTCACTTAGGACAAAGATTACCTAGGTGTATTTATTAGGCTAAGGTGGGGGAGTTCTTTGATTTGATTTTCTTCCTGTATCTTGCAAGTCCTTTTGGCAAAGGTACAGTGAGAACTTGAACCTGAGAAGTATCACAACACTGAACTAGCAGGTTGTACTTGAATTTCCTCCTGCCACTCTGAAGCCTGTCATCTATGTCCTAGGAAAGATTATGGGATGCAGCACTTTCCACAACCATGCCCTGACCCCTCCCTCAGCATGTGGAAGATGCTTGAGAGTATTTAGGGCAAATATGCTACTGGTTGTTAGCCAGAACTCAAAGGATCTGCTCACTTGCTGGGAGATTAGAAGGGTTTTGTTAGCATCTTTTCTTCTTGTAAATGCTGATATACTTCCATGGGTTTTGCTTGCTTTTTTTTTTTTTTTCTGTTTCTACTACCATTTATGTCTGTTTTTAAAAATAAGATACAAATTGAATACAGGTCCCTGTTTGTATAGTACTGTTGGATACRTTTTGACTAATGTATGCTTTGTGTGAACACCACAGCCATTGAGCTATAGAGCAGTTCTGTCACCACCCGAGTTTCTCAGCCCCTTTTTCATCAACACGTCATGACTCCTAACCCTGGCAGGCAATGATCCGTTTTTTTAGTGTTAKGTAGTCCTTGACACCTGGCTCTGCCACCTGCCATGTGGCCTTATGCATTTGCGATGCAGCCAAACTGTTAGGAGTGTCTGAGCCTGGTTCCTCTGTATTGTGGAGAGGTGTTTCGTTATGGGCCATTTGTACTATTATGGTGCAGTTTGTCCATTGACCTGTCAATGGACATTCAGGTCACTTGCAGTTCTTGGTGATTATTACTAAAACCGCTGTGAACCTTGGCATGCATGGCTTTTGTGGGAACATATGTTCCAATTTCCTCTGGAAGTTCCATCTGGATGGGACCTCTCATAGAGCCTCCAGCATTTCCCAATAAGTTGTTAATCATTTCATTCTTGAGTAGATGGCATCTTTACTGGAATGCAAAACGCCTTGTCCCTTTTACAAAGCCCTTTTGTTGAATGGGATTATTGTTGGGTTACATTTCATTGTAACTAAATCTATTAAATAGTTACCCCGTTGAAAGGCTAGTCCTATACAGTTTGTTTGTTTGCTACTCTTGGTGAATTTTCATCTCTTGACTTGGGGATTTGTGTTTCTGCATACAGGTGAGGCTGCCAGCCATTAACTCAAAATATCCAAGCAAAACGGGGACCCCGCTTGGCCCTAAAGACACTGCTGGAAGCAGACTGTCTTTCCCTCCCATGTAAGTGCTCAAACTATGCTGACAGATCTGTAAATGAGATTTGGAGTTGCTCTTCCCACTTCTGTCCAAGCATGACAATGACAACATCCAGACAACTTCCTGCAGTCCAGCCCTCAAGGCTCTGACCCAGCCTCGCCTTCTCCCCACAGCTGTGCTTTCATTTCTTCCTGACATTGATTTTGCAACTTTGAGCGCATGTCTTCCCTTCTGCATTGTTTGCTGTGCAAGTTTGCATTTTGGGCCACTCATCTTTGCACACTCACGCTGCTTATCTTGATGTTTTCTGTCACCAAGACCTTAACCCAGAGGTTTGTGCCTGTGATCATCTCTGTGTTCAGCTGGAGGGTACATTAGGCATGCTGCCATCTGTTGATCTTCCRGCTGGAAAGGGAAACTCTGAGGCCTCTGTGTCTCCTCCCTTTCCCAGAATTCTGGTACACAGCTAAAATAGATGTCATTAATTGCCTGACTAATTCTTCAAATAGCTCTCATCCAATGGGGGGAAAACCAGTTATATTAATTATACTGTAATAAATGCCATAAGACTGGGAGGGAGAGAAAGAAAAAAAGACATATATATGTAAATATGGAAAGGSGTGGAGAGGGAGAAAACCATTAGAATAATACTCTTTTGACAATGAAGTGATTTATAAGTAAGAAACTTGAGGCTCATAGGGAACAGGTATTTTTGCACTTGTCACCTGCTTGAGTTGAACACTCACGCAGCCTCCACCACATCAACTGCCCTGATCCATGGAGCTCCAGCAGCTGGTGAAAGTCTAAGTGAACAATGACAAATGATAGGAGATAAAGCCATGTCAAAATGGTGGCAGATAATCTTTAATAAGGACAAGAGAGAACTAATTAAGAAAAAAATCATTATTTAAAGGTGTGATAATTCTGAGCAATCCATTGTGGATTAACAGTGGTGTTTTTGAAATTTCCCTGTCAAATGTTTGAATGATTATTAACTTGTAATTGGCTAACAGCAAGAAAAGTTTTGGAAACTGGAATAAACATATTCTCACCYATGTACAAGGGATATTTTTCAAATACGATTTTTATCCTAAAAAATGAAGAAGGAGATGAGAGAAAGACAAAGGGAGACAGACCCAGAGAGATAAAGATAGATGGGAGAGTCAGAAAAGAGAGAGAGAGAGAGAAGGAATGGGAGAGWGAACGCTCAAGAGCTAGTTAGGCAGCTGACTTATTATCAGTGTGTTCCCTGAATACTGTTTCTGGTTTTTTCATTAACCTTTGTAATTAAGTTTAACATTCATTTTTCTTTTTGAGGCCTGGTCAAAAAACCAGTTCCCCAACAAACTTTTCCAAACTTATTAGCAATGGCTATAAAGATGAATGGTTACAGCAGCAGCGAGCTGATTCCGACAAGAAGACACCAAAGACATCCAGGTCCTCAGTGTCATCTCAGTCCACACAGGACCCAGAAGGGTCCCAGGATACAGAGACACCCCAGGATCCAGAGGCTCCTGAAGGCTCTGAGAAAGCTCAAGGTGAGGTGCACCTGGAAAGTGGTATGTCCTGCAGATTTTCATTAATTGGGGTGGCAGCAGGCAACTTTCTAATCTCACGTTGCATCTCATAATGGAAAATAAGTAATTGAGAAATTATGTTTCAAAACCACAGGAGTATTAAGGTTACAGATAAACATAAGGAAAATACAAGCAAAGCTAATATGTAAGAAAAATCCATGACTTCTGGGGCTTCACATTTTTTTTTTCATTAGAAATTTTGATATTCCATGTAGGGTAACAAACACTTAATATAAAAAATAATATCAATGTTAGTCTCCTGAATCCAAACAGTTATGGTCCTACAATGCTGGTCTTTGACATAAACAGCCARTCTTCTTCAAGATTGCTTCTCAGAAAGCCCTTTATTTCTCAAAAAGAATGTCAAATTCAAACTMAAAAATTTGAAATTGCTCCATTATCAGCATGTCTTAAGTTTTGAATAATTTAGAACTTTCTCTGTAATTAGATGTTCAAAACACTATATTAATTTTTGCTTTTTAAGAGTCACTGGGAGAATTAGTCTCATTTTCTTGGATGTGTGCACCCTAAAGCCTATCGAGTATTATGCTTTTTTTTTTCCATGGCTCTGTTAATTATTGACCACTTGCCCCTGGGCTTATTAGTTTGTTTTTGGGTCTTTATTTCTTTAATTAGGGGGAGGAAGGCATGTCAAGTCTGCTCAGGCATTTGAAGGATTTGAAGGGCTTGTTCCAATTTTTTTTTCTTTTTCTTTTTTTTTTTTTTTTTTTGTGAGCAGCTCTCTGCATGGCTTTCCACAGCCAGTTCCTGGCTGCTTTGGTGGAGGGACATCTGCCAATTAACAGGCTGACTCTCTCCTTTATCCTGATGGAGGAGATGAGTGACAAGTTTGCACAAAATGTGGTTTCAAAGTGCCCTTTTGAACTTTACTAAGTTGATGGTGTTTTATGACTTACTGTTGTTTTAAGTAACACAGTCTTTTACTAATTCTTCAAATAATTAAGAGTTACTTTAATACTTGGACTTTCCCATTAAACTGAAAAATGATTTATTCTTTATTGCAGAGTCTTCTCCTCCAAGTGAGTATAGAGAAATGGATCTGCACTGACAAACAAAGAGTTTTACCCAAAAGAATCAATGGGCAGAGAGTTCTTAAATCTGAGACTGCAGCCTCTGAGCAGCCTTCAGAAGCCTTCTCCAAACTGCATGTATTCTGACTCCAAAAGCCTGTGCCATATATACTTTTGAAATATGCAATCTGTTATCATTAACCGGTCACCTTGCTGTGTAGCAGATTTCTAGAATTTATTTCTTCTAACTAAAACTTGATACACTTTGACCAACATCTCTCTATTTTTTTATCAAATACTTCCAATACCCTAGCTCYAGCCTCTGATAGCCATCTTTCTACTTTTCTGCTTCTAGGTTTAACATTTTTAGATTCTACACGTGAGATCATATAGTCTTTGTCTGTGCTTGGCTTATTTTACTTAGCATCATGTCCTCCAGGTACATTCATGTTGTCACAAATAACAGAATTATCTCTGGGTATGGCTGAATAGTATTCGATTGTGTATGTATGCCATTTTTTTCTTTACCTGGTCATCTGTTGATGACACTTAGGTTGATTCCATATCTTGGTTACTGTGAACAATGTTRCACTAAAAATGGGAGTTAGATATTTCTCTGATATACTTATTTCAGCTCCTTTGGATATATATAAGCAGTGGTGAGATAGCTGTATCATGTGGTAGATCTATTTTTGGTTTCTTGAGGAACCTCTATACTGTTTTCTTTAATGGATGTACTAATTTACAGTCCCATCAACAGTATGCAAAGATCTCTTTTTCTCCACATCCTTGCCAACATTTTTCTTTCATTTTCTTTAAMCCAACCATTCTGTCCAATATGGAATGACATTTCATTGTGATTTTAACCTTCATTTCCCTGATGATAATGATGTTGAAAATTTTTTCACATGCCTCGTGGCCATTTGTATGTCTTCTTTAGAACAAAATATCTGTCGGGTCTTTTGCCTGCCCATTTTTTATTTTGATATTAATTACTTATCACATGTATGGTTTCCAAACATAATCTCCTACTATATGGGCTGTATTTTCATTTTGCTTATTGGTTCGTTTGCAGTCCATATGTTTTTAGTTGGGTGTGATCATATTTGTTTTTGTTGCCTGTGCTTTTGGTGTTCTATATACACAGTCATTGCCAAGACTAATGTTTGGGAGATTCTCCCCTGTATTTCTTCTATTTACTTTTATAGTTCAGGCCTTTGATTTAAGACTTCAATCTAGCTCGAGATGATTTTTATATATGGTGTGAAGTGAGGGTTCAATTTCCATTYGATTGAATGTAGATATCTAGTATTCCCAACAACATTTAATGAAGCAACTGTCCTTTTYTCACTGTGCATTCTTGTTACATTTGTTAAAAATCAGTTGACTTTAAATGTATGGGTTTGTTTGGAGGTTCTATCCTATTCTATTGTTCTACATGTCAATTTTTGTACCAGTACCATGTTGTTTTGATTACTCTAGCTTTGTAATATATTTTGAAATCAGGTTGCACATTGCTTCCAGCTTTGTTCTTTTTGCTCAAGATTGCTTTGGCTATTCGTGGTCTTTTATGGTTCTATATGAATTTTACAGTTTCTCTTTTTGTTTCTGTGAAAAATGTCATTGGAATTTTGATAGGGATTTCATTGAATCTGTAGATACTTCTGAACAGGATGGAAATTTTAACAATATTAATTCCTATTATCAATGAATATGAAATATCTTTCCATGTATTTGTATCTTAATTTCTTTCATCAATGACTTAAAGTTTTCAGTGTATAAGCTTTACATCTCTTTGATTAAATTTAATCYCAAGTAACTTTCTGATGTTGCTGAGAATCAGATTGATTTGTTAGTTTCTTTTTTTGGATAGTTCTTTKTTAAATGTATAGAATGCTACTGATTTTGGGATGTTGATTTTGCATTCTGCAAGTTTAATATATTCTTTAATCAGTTATAACAGATTTTTTCATGTTGTCCTTCGGGGTTTTCTATAAATAAGATTATATTGTCAGCAAAGTTTAACTACTTTCTTTCCAACTTAGATGAATTTTATCTATTTTTCTTGCCTAATTGTCTAGTTARGATGTCTAGTACAATAATGAATAGAAGTAATGAGATTGGGTGTCCTTGCCTCATTCCTTATCTTAGAGGAAAAACTTCCACCTTTTTTACTGTTTAGTGTGATGTTAGTTAAGAACTTGTCATATATGCATCTACTATCTTGAAGAACAGTCCTTTTATAATTAATCTGTTGAGAGTTTTTATCAGGTCACAATGTTGAATTTTATCAGATATATTTTCTATATCTGTTGAGGAGATCACATAGTTTTCTTCTTCTTCTTCTTCTTCTTCTTATTATTATTATTATTATTGTTTTGTAGTTACAATGTATTTGGGTTCATCCTGACAAACTTATACATGCATGGAAATCTCTTTCAGTTCATGATTCCCCCCATTTCCTTTCTCCCTTTTCCCTCCCATTCTCTCTCCCCTCTCCAATTCCCCTTCCTCTACTCTGACAGACTTCCTTTCACTCATCTATTAATTTGTGTTTGATTGTTTTATGGGGTTTTTTTTTTGGTACCAAAGTTTGAACCCAGGAGCTCTTAACCACTGAGCAATATCCCCAACCCTTTTTTATATTTTATTTAGAGACAGCGTCTCACTGAGTTGCTTAGGACCTCGGGAAGTTGCTGAGGCTGGCTTTGAATTAGGAACCTCCTGCTCAGTCTCCTGAGCCGCTGGGTTTACAGGCTCAGATTGCTGTGACCAGTGATTTAATTGGGTCTTTATGTTATCATATCCTTCCCTCCTCCTTTCCTTTATTTTACTCTAGCTTCTACATATGAGAGAAAACATTGGATCTCTGAGTTTCTGATTTTAACTAATTTCACTTAGCATTATATTCTCCATTTCCATACATTTCCCAGCAAATGCCATAATTTTGTTCTTTTTTATAGCTGAGTASAACTCCATTGTACATATACCACAATTTCTTATTCCATTCACCTATTGATGGGCATCTGGGTTGATTTCATAATTTAGCTATTGTAAATTATGCTGCTATTAATGTGGCTATATCACTGTGGTATGCTGAGATCATAGTGTTCATCCTTTATTATATCAATGTGGTAAATCACATTTATTGATTTGTGTGTTTTGAATCATTCTTGAATCCCAGGGATAAATCTGTTTGATAATAATGTAGATATCTTTAATGTGCTGCTCATTTTAGCTTGCTTGTATTTTGATGAGGGTTTTTGTATCTTTGTTCATCAGGGATATTCACCTGTAATTTTCTTGTAATATCTTTGTCTGACTTTAGTATGAGGTAGTGTGGATCTCATAAAATGTTTTTTTTTTTTGGGGGGGGTTGGGGTTTGGTACCAGGGATTGAACTCAGGAACACACGACCACTGAGCCACATTTCCAGCCCTATTTTGTATTTTATTTAGAGGCCGAGTCTTGCTGAGTTGCTTAGGACCTTGCTAAGTTGCTGAGGCTGGCTTTGAACTCAAGATCCTCCTGTCACAGCCTCCTGAGCTGCTGGGATTACAGGCATGTACCTCTGTGCCCAGCTTCATAAAATGTTTTGAAAGTGTTTTCTCCCCCTWCTTTTTTGGAGGAGTTTAATAAGAATTGAAATTTGGATATTTTATAGAATTCAGCAGTAAAGTCATCAGGTCCTGGACTTTCCTGTGATGGAGACTTATTATTACAGATATAAAGGATTCAGTCTCCTTCATCATTATTGATCTGTTCAGGTTTTCTTTTTCTTCATGATTCAATCCTGATAGGTTTTAAGTTTGCAGGAATTTCCCCATCCCTTCTGGGTTGTCCAATTTGTTAGTAATTGTTCATAAGTCATCTCATGAGCCTTTGTGTTTCTGTGGTATCAATGTAATGTGTCCTCTTTCATATTGTTTTTTTTCTTTTGGCACCAGGGATCGAAATCAGAGGGACTTAACCACTAAGCCACATCTCCAGCCTTTTTTTTTTATTTTTATTTTTTTATTTTGAGGCAGAGTCTTACTAAGTTTCTTAGGGCCTCACTAAGTTGCTGAGGCTGGCTTTGAATTTGCAATCCTTCTGCCTCAGGCTCCTGAGCCACTGGGATTAAAGGCCTGTGCCACCGCACCCAGTTTCTCTTTCATTTCTGGTTTTACTTGAGTCTTCTATTTTTTTCTTGGTCTAGTTAAATATTTGCAGTTTGCTTTCAGAAAATTAACTCTCAGCTTTATTGGTCTTTTCTATTGTTTTTTAAGTATCTATTTCATTTATTCCTGTCTGATCATTATTCCTTTCATCTGTAAACTTTGGAATATCCCCCCACACACACACACACCCAGTTTAGAAATACACACGTAGTGACTGCAGAGGTTCACCCGCATGGAATATGTTAGGGTGAATGGTTTTGAGTAGATAAAATTTTCTTCCTTACTAACAAAATACAGTCAAAGGACTACCACTCAGCATTGGTATAAGTTTATCAAGTTTCTGTCAGGAAATACATCATTTAGGTAATAAGTAACCCATGGGCTACGTTAGCAACATTAGCTGTTTGGTTCCAGAGAGATATTTATCCATCCAAAATTAACAAAATTCACAATAAACAGCCAAGTGCCTATAATCTGAGAAAAGTGCTTGGTGGATGTGAGCAAGGAGGGCTGCACCATGGAAATCCAGCCCCCTCCCTCCCCCTGTGCTGGGGCTGATGGGGCCACATTCTCTGTCACTYGCATTGCCTTTTTATTTCTGCCACTTCCTGACTTCTTCTGTTTCCTACTTCTCCCCTGTCCACTGTGGTTTAAACTTTATAAACAACATTATCCAAACCAGATGGTGCCTTTTTCCTTCTGGCTAGAAAAATGCTCCACTTTGAGCTCCTGCCATAATTTTCTGGAAATAAATCTAGTCCAGGCTTCTTATTAATGTTTTCTTCCTTCCAGGGGACACAAGGTGATTATTGTTACTTTACCCCTGTACCTGCGTAAATGCTGTGTTGTGTCAGAAAGGTGACCTTTAGGTTACGGATTCGGCTTTATACTTTGGCAGGCTTGCTCACATTTGTGAAGGGGACATGAGATTTGGAAGAGAGGGGCAGAGGCTGCATAGAGTCTGCTTTCCAGCTGAGGAAGAGGCACATGACTTGAGTGCAGTCGCCTTCCTGAGGCTGTGCTCACGCTGTTCAGTTCTGCTCAGCATGTTGGTACCAGAATCTCTCCGGCATGGACGAGCATGACTCAGAAAGTAAATGTCATCATGGGGCACTTTGTCCTTTTCTCCCAGTGCCAAAGTTGTTTTCTCATGTTTTCCATGTACAACTGGTCCTGGGAAGTAAGACTCTATGCTAATTTTTGTGTAAACTTTGGGTTCAGTTCTCATGAACAGGTACAGAAATGTTACTTTCTTTTATTTTAAATTAATAAGTGATTTTTTAAAAAATGTATTTAAAACATTACCTTTGTCTACTCATGTATTTACTTTGTGTTGCAGGCCCAGAAGCATCTCCAGCTGCATCGACACCAGCAGAGCTTAAATAAACCTGGGTGTAATTTTTACAATGACATTTTTAGTAGCTAACTATAATACAAATCAGGGCTGTATTTATAAGGCTCCCATTTGTATATTATTAATATAGATTTTTACCTACAATTCATCTTGTAGCATATTTGGCATTGCTGTGGCATAGACGGTGGAAGCGTTGGTTTTGTTTCTTGCCYTTCTCTAGGGTGTTAAACACATGGTCAGTAAACACAACCATGGCCTCTATTACCCTTTCCCTTGTTGGCCTGGTAACATCCCAATGTCTTGGGACTAATCACACCTCCTGTGTGCCCCGTGGTGGGATGGAATTTCTATGAGATTTTGAACTAGAAGATCAACAGAACAAGCTTCAAGAATTTTCTGTTCTTTGCTCTTTGTAGGAATAATCTTCCTGTTACAAAACAAAATTCCAGAATATGGTGATATCTTTGAGATTTTAAAAAGATTTTATTATACCTTGATGTTTTAAGAACTTAATATAAAACATTGTAACATTTGCTAGTCTTAAATTTTTGCTAATACTTTCAGAATAAACTGAAGTCCATTATATTAAACACTTATTATTTTGTATCATCTAGGAAAAAATATATATTTAAATATATCTAATTTAGTAGGTATAACAAAAACTTTTTAAGAATCAAGATTGTTGTTTTATAAATGTTGTTGTTCATATAGCATTAAAAATATAGTTTTATATTTTTGACATTTAATTCATTGACTAAATAAGTTTTGACAGGAAAGTTTTTAGGAAGCCAATGAGGTCACAGATATTTTAGCTTCTTTTCCCAGAATTAACTTATCATGCATTTGCTCAGCTAAAATTTGTTTTAAATTAATTCATTAACTGGCCTACGTGAGCACTTATATCTATATTGTTTGATCAAACTTATGGTAGTATGGGGGAATATATGCAATATGTAAGAATGTGAATGGCTGTATGTATTGAATAAAAACAATATACCAATATAGTAAGTTTTTTCCTTTTGTTCTCCCCTTTCCTCCTCTTTCTTTTTTTACCTAATTCCTACCTCATTCCTACACATTCCCACCTTAATGAGAAAAATCATAAGAGACAGCCGAAGTATAGAACTCTTTAGTTCTTTTTTTTTTTTTTTAGGTTATTATAGTAACAGAAACCTGAGGCTTACGAAAAGAGCAGACAAAATTTGGAGAAAGAACTACTGATCAAATCTTGACCTCACCTAGAAGAGCAAAGGTCTGTTATTTTAAAAATGAGTCTTGTAAATTAACTTTTTGGTCAGTAAAATACAGCAAACTTATTATGAAAACAGGAAATTTGCAATTCCATCCACTTGTTCTGAAATAAATGAGTTATTTCTTAAGAAAAAACCAAGCTCACACTACATATAAATTGCCAGTTAAAACCAACAAAGATTTTTAAAGTAACATGACTTTCACATACTACACATGTGCATGGTGTGCATGGTGTACACCCACCCACCCTCCCACACAGATAGATGCCCTTCTTGTGTCCTGACCGCTATCTGGTAGGCATCTGAATACCTTAGCTCACCACAACCTCACATGTACTTACTTCAAAGAGCTGGAACAAGGTTTTGACTTCTCTGAACCTCATTCTTCTCATCTCATGAAGATGAAATGAGCCTGGAGGCAGAGCTCTGTGGAAAGCAGAGCCRAAGGATTAGAGGAAAAGGGAAAGGTGACAGAAGAGCTTTAAGAAGGGGAACATAGAGCAACCCCAACAACTGTCCCTATGTAAAAATGGAAGAAAGCAAAAATCACTGTCACGAACTAAAGATGTGATGGTAGAGGGGAATGAGTACTATGCTCCCCTACACTGGCCTTACTTAGGCTCCATGAGACATCTTCAAAAATGGTTTGGGGGCTGTGGCTCAGTGGTAGTGCACTTGCTTGGCATGTGTGAGGCATTGGGTTTGATTCTCAACACCACATATAAATAAATAAAGGTTTATCAATAACTAAAAAAAATCTTTTTTAAAAATGGTCTGAATCATACATTAAAAAGGAGCAGAGAGCCCCGGTGAATTCGCCAATGAATTCTGACCAACATTTAAGGAAGAAATACCAGTTCTCTAGAATTGCTTCCAGACTGTAATCCCAGAACCCAGGAGACTGAGGCAAATTAGAGGCCAATCCCAGTGATTTCGCAAGACCTTAAACAAATTAGCAAGATCCTGTCAAAATAACAAGTAAAATGGGTTGAGGATATAGTTCAGTGGTACAATGTCACTGGGTTCAATCCTCAGTACTGGGAAAAAAAAMCAAACCACAGTCTCMCGGGTACAGTACATAGTCTGTCCCTCCCTCCCTCCTTTCTCTGCCACCCCTAAAGAACATATTTAGTTATTTGAACGTTATGAAATGCACAAGCACAATACAACCTTGGATTTTTAAAAAACTATCTCAATACATACCATTTTAAATAAGACAAACCATGATATAACTCCACCACACTCTAAACAGACAGGCCGGCAGTGKGGGGGGGGGGGGAGGTCACAGAGGATACTTCTGGGTTAGATGCCCACCCCTACATTCTCAGGGCAGCTTTGTCCTACAGAGACCTTAGCATTGCTGGCTTCCTTAGGACTCTGGTGGACCTTCATGTTCTTTAGTAAGAATTGACTAATGAAAAGCTTCAGACCTTCTTGCAATATTCCTAGCTTTGGATTTAGACCAGTTTTTTTTTTTTTTTAAAGAACATCTACAAAAACCTAAAGCTAAAAACATACTTAATGGTGTGAAACTGAAGCTTTCCTGATAAGATCAGGAATAGGGCAAGAATGTCCCATTTGACCATTTAATATCATACTGGAAGTCCTAATTAATGTAATAAGACAGGGAAGTAAAAGTTAAATAGATTGGTAAGTGCTATGGTCTGAACATTTTTTCCCCCTCTAAATTCACATATTGAAGCCTAACCTCTATTGTGATGGTACTAGGAGGTTGAGGGGCTTTGGGAGGGGATTAGGTTATGAGGGTAAAGCCCTCATGAACGGGATTAGTGTTTTTTTTATAAAAGAGACCTCAAAAGACCCGTTGTGCTTTCCACTATGTGTGAGGACACAGTGAGAGGGCTCTCACCAGACGCCAAATCTACCTATCCTTTAGTCTTGGGCTTTCTGAATTCCAGACTGTGAGAAATAGACTGTGGTTGTTTATAAATAATTCAGTTTATGATATATTGTTAAAGCATCCTGAGTGGATTGGGATAGACAAGAAGAATCTATGCAGAAAATCTAAAAGATAAGACAAAAACACAAACAAACAAAACCCTGAAMCAAAACTCTTGGAACTAGTACCAATTATGGTAAAGTTGCAGAATACAAGGTTAACATATAAAAGTCACTTTCCTATGTATACCAATAATGAACAAGTAGAATTTGAAATTTAACCACAATAATGTTTATAATATATGATAAAAATGAAACACTTAAATCTTAACAAAATATGTACAGGATCATATAAGGGGAACTACACAACTCTGAAAGAAATCAACTTTGAAAGAAATCAGAGAAGAACTAAATAAATGGAGAGGTATTAAACATTCACAGATAGGAAGACTGAACATGTATTAAGCCTTCTTAACTTGATCTACAGATTCTACACAAYCTCAATAAAAATCCCAGCAAGTAATTTTGTGCAAGTTGATAAATGGTTAAGAAGAGGCAAGAGATTCTGAATGGGCAACACAATATTGAAGGAGAAGGTCAAGCCAGAGGACTGGCACCACCCATTAAAAAGCTATAGTAATCATGACAATGTGTTATTGGAAAAAGAAAGATCAATCAATGGATCAAGTTGGAGAGTCCAGAAATGGACCATGCAAACATAATCAACTGATTTTTGACAGAGGAGAAAAGGCAACCAATGGAGAAATAACACTTTTTCAACAAATGGTACTGGAATAATCAACATCTACTTGTAAAAAGAAAAAAAAATCTAGACAAAAAACTTACAGTGTTCACAAAAATTTATTAAAAAGTATAATAGTCCTAAATGTAAAACACAAACCTACACAACTCCGAAAAATAGCAGAAGAAAATTCAGGCGACATTGGTGATGACATTTAAGATATAACACCAAAGGTATGACCCATGAAAGAAGGAATTAATAAGCTGAGCTTCAATAAAATTAAAAACTTCTGCTTCATCAAAAACACGGTATGATGGTTAATCTGAATTTCAACTTGAATGGATTAAGAAATGCAAAGTTTATGAGGCTTCTAAGTGTCTCAGTGAGGGTGTTCCTAGGAATGATTGGATGTGGGATGTTGAAGTGAAGGAGAGACCTACCTTAAGTGTAGGCAGCACAATCCAATAGGTTGGAGCCTTAGATGGAACAAAAAATTGAAACAACAAGGAAGCCACAGCAGTCACAAGCTCTATTCTTCTTTGGCATGTTCTTGATTGCTGCTGGATCACCTGAAGACATCAGACTCCAGCTCCTTCACTCTTCCAAAGCTGACTCTGCCCAGTGACTCTCTAGGAAGTTTCCAGACCCTTGGTCCTAGACTGGGGCCACATCATTGATTCCTTTGTTCTGAAGCTTCTTAGATGAGCAGCTACTGGTTCCTCCAGCTCCCCAGCCTGCAGATAGCCATTGGGGGACTATCCACTTCTGCTTGTGTAAGCCAATCTAACAAATCCCCTTTTTATAATCAGATAGATAGATAGACAGATAGATAAATAGATAGATAGATAGATAGATAGATAGATGGATAGACTCTGATGGTTCTGTTCCTCTAGAGAACCCTAATACATGCTGTTGAGCGAGTGAAAAGAAAGACCATGAAGTAGGAAAAAGTATTTGCGAAAGAAATATCTGAAAAGGACTGTTATTCAGATTATATGAAGAACTCTTAAAATTCAACAGAACAYTAATAACCCAATATAAAAATGAGTTGAAGACTTTAACAGACACCTCACTAAAGATAGACAGTTGGAAAATAAACATCTGAAAAGATCTTCCATATCAGGGAAATGCAAATTAAAATAACAATCAGATACAATCAGATACCACTACATAACCTATTAGACTGGCCAAAATCAAGACCACTGATGACACAAAACACTGGCGAGGATGTAGAGCAACAGGAACTCCTTGCTGATGGGAATGCAAATGTTACAGCCACTTTGGAAGACACTTCAGGGGTTTCTTGTAAAACTGAGCATACTCCTCATATAATCCAACAATTGAATTCCTTGGCGTTTACCCAAAGGAGTTTAAAATCTATGTCTATAAAACCTGCCTACAGATGTTTAGAGCAGACTTATCCATAATTAGCAATACTTGAAAGCAACAAAGATGTCCTAAAGTAGGTGAATGGATAAAGTGAAAAGAAGTGAAAGAAGCCAATCTGAAAAGGCTACATTCTGTGTGACTCCAACTATATAACATGCTAGAAAAGGGAAAACTAAAGAGGCAATAAAAAGATCAGCAATGGCCGGGGATAAAAGGAGGAGAATGAATAAGGAGGATTCTTACTGTGGTGAAAC